GACGGAGAGGACGAAGACGACGGCGTCAGGCGAGGTGGTCCCGGGCGACGGCGAGCGCTGGGCGTCGGGGCGCGGTCGCGGGCGCGTCGGGGGCGGGACGACGAGGGCGCGCGGTGATGGGCGGGGGGAGGGGTCCGGCGACGGGATGTGGGCAAGGCCACTACTAGAAATCCACATTTTACCTAGAGCCATATACCCTAGGTGAAATGCAAAAAACCATAGGGGAAGACTTTACCTAGAGCTTGCCCTAGGTAAAGAACCCTAGGTGTAGTATAGTTGGGAAAGAACTCTTTCCCTAGGTGCATGTGGCAAGCTCTAGGGAAACTCTCTTTACCTAGGGGCACAAACCCTAGGGAAAGACCGTGGGGTCCATATGAATTGTGACACCCCACTACTTCCCCTACAATTCTTTCCCTACTAGATGTTTGAATAATACCATAGGGATACATATATTCATATATTTCATATACAAATACACATTTCAAATTGAAATTCATGTCCAACATAATTTATAATTAGATTCTGTGCCATAATTCAAATTTATAAATTGCAGCCAAATTCATCATACACATCATATTATCAACAAACACATACATCAGGCTCATGGTTTTCTCAATTTAGCGCCAGAATTCAAAAAATAAACTATGAGAAATTTGGCACGACTAGCACTGCTGGTCAGGTATCTACTACTACAAAAGAACTGTAACATGTTATCTATCATGCACTGCAGAAGATGGTCTTCAAGTGTCAAGCCCTGCCCAAGCGGTTGGCTTCCTGAGATGTGTGACAAATTGAGTAAGGAAGTTCTAGATGCCATGAAAAGAAGCCGAACATCCCTTCAGCATCTGGGTCGGGTGCCACCAGAGTCAAAAGCTTGGAAGAAGCATCAAAGTGACATTATGGTCCTGAAATTAGTGATGACAAGCAGTTTAGCACTTAGTTGTAAGTAAAGGTATATTGGCAACAACAATTAGTAAGTGTAAGTAAAAGAAAATGGTGATTTGACTTCGAGGTAAAACCAAGAATTACGAGTCAAGGAGTCGACGAGTCGAGAGCCGAGGTTGAGACTCATAGAGTAATCGTGACTAGTCTAGACTACTGCTGGACTAGTCGACATGGTACTGTAGTACTCAACTTATAGTAATTAACTACTAATACCTAGTATGTAATGTAGTACATACTATATATTACTCCCTCCATCCCATAATATAAGAGCGTTTTTTGCACTAGTATAGTGTCAAAAACGCTCTTATATTTTGGGACATACGGAGTATACAATAAAAATTGAGCAGCAAGGGGCGTGGATCCAGGGAAGGAGCAGGACCAAAAAGGAAGGGAGAGCATTCTAATGCTCCTGGCCACCGCCAGCGGCAGTGGCGGGCAATGGGCAGTGGTGGCGGCCTAGCCCCAGGTGAGGCGACTCATTGTGGAGCGAGCCTGGAAAGCTAGGGTTGCGATGTTTTTTTCCTGCAGGCTGAGCTCTGCTCACTTATCCCTCCCAAATTGAGCCACCAGACTAGTCGCTTCATCGCTCGACTCAGCGAGCTAGTCTACATGAAGAAGCTAGTTGACAATTAGATTGAGACTATTAGACTAGTAATCATTGGGTAAAACCATGGAAGTTTCATATTGCCTATAGTTTAACTCAAATGACATGTTTTACTTTGTATTACAACTACTTCGCACCATCATAAGTTCATAACAGGAAAACATATGTGACAGACGTACTGAGAGTATTCCTTGTGTAATACTATGTCAGGTAAGAGAGAAGAAAATCCCAGCGTTGAATGTAAATTAGAGCACCCAATAGAAACATAACAAATAAAGCTGAGCAAGAAGAAGACTGGTCTCACACCAAATAGTAACATGACCAGATACCTTACATCAGCCTCATGTCTTTTTGCCGCAAAAGTTTTATAGCATTTGCATCACCTTCTTCTCTTACCTATACACAAGGCATTTCAGTAATATTTACAATAGAAAAAGTAACATGACGTACAACATATTAGCAACCCTCGGCTTTAAAGAAGTCATGCTACTTGTATTGCAACTGAATTAGAGAACGACCACATAGTATCGAGTGGCGCTCTCTTAAAAAATAAATAGGTACTGAGCAATAGAGAACAATCAGGCATAGTACATAGATACAAGGATTAAAAGCATCACAACGATGTCATTAGTATGCAGAGTAAATGTTTGCAGTCAGAATTTTATCAAAGTAGGCATGTGGCTATAAAATACCATTTGAGATTTTACATATTATGCACCCACCAGGAACAAAACAAACAACTCTATCGAACTAGGAGGAACTAGGTGTTGTACCAAGCAATAAATTAACTAAGAAATTGAAACAAGCAATTACAAAAAGCACAAAGGAGATATTGAAGGATAGGAACATCAGCACAAAGTAGGTTGGATGGTTTTTAGTGCTAGATAATTGTGTTGTGCTGCAGAAGTAGTTTCCACTGACCTTTCTATATTTTCTCCTCTGTTCTTCAGAAAACTCTATTTTATTAACGCCTTTTATACCATCAACAGCACCCCCCACTTCAGCTATCTCCTCCACCTATACAATAATAATTGAAACTTTAATGCACCTGCTCCATGGAGAAGACAAATAAAATAGGAAATTAGTATGATGGCAAACTTTATGGAAAATATCAGTATAATGGTAAATGCCATGGTGAGCCTGTTATTTAAGGCCAAATAGAAATTCTTATGATCCTTACACTTGTCTAGCTAACTCTAACAACAAAGTTTACAACTTGTATAGCTAGATGACTAGACTATTTTAAACTTAAACATTTGGACAATATGCCTGAAGATTACGGGTAGCTAGCTCTAAGAACAAACTTCAAACAGTTGGGCATGCTATGGCACAAGCTTCCAGGAGGACCAAGACTAGAATCTATTTACCTAACTATATATGCTGATCAGGAGGAGTATATATGACTGTGAACATGAGTAGTAAACATATAAATGACACTATAGAAGTGTAGCAACTATGAACCAACACGTCCTAAGTAGCTACAGTTATCAGTTCTATGTGTACAGATATATAAACAGCAAAGCCAACAATATAAGTTTGCATTACAAATAGCTAGCAAAAAGAGACTGGAAGACACTGTCAAACAGTAATGCATTCTATAATAACCAATAGATAGACTGCGTGAATATATCCTACTTGATACATTTAAATGTCTACATTTTGACCAAAATTTAAATGGTTGATCGTCTCACTCGTATTCATGCATTTTCATATGTATGCACTTTTGTTGGATATATACCAGAACTTGAGGTGGTCTCATCACCGAACGATCCAGGACATGAGCACATTTCCAAAAGTATCTTAGTTAACTATATTATCATGGGCACAAATTCAGACTGCTCAATTTTACATGTATTGAGATAGATAACATGCTCATAGCATCACGTTAATGCAGGTAAATCATGTGATATACTCTAACTAATAGTGGGCAACTTTGCAATATGAAATTCTCTTATCAACTACCGGCTAACTATGTTCTGCCAAATCCACCAATGGCATACCACGTACCAGCTATAGGACCCAATCATCAACCAATGAACAGGTGAAGGACTGAAGGGGATCCTCTAAATAAACAACAGGGAGCGAAGAAAAAGGGCGACGTCTATCCATACCTTGAGGCTCTCTATGACCCCGGGATGACCACGTGCTCGAGCTTGAGAACTTGCCCTCAGTGTTCTCCGGCGGTCACTATGGTCCACCGGCAGCGCAGCCACCAAGGCCGTCACGGCTTCCTCGACACTGGTGGTGCGATGCCATCGCACCGGTTGGCATGGCCATGGAAACCCCACTCGTCGCAGCCATGGATCAACGCATGCCGCCATGGCTGGGCATGAAGATGCAGTATGGGCGGATCTGGCCGAGCGGGGAGGAGCAGAGGCCGTGCGGTGGGGCAGATCAGGCCGGAGCATGGTCGGGCGGGGAGTGCCAAGGGCCGTGCGATGGGGCGCATTGAACCGGAGCGTGACCTGGTGGAGAGGATCAGGGGTCGTGCGGCGGGGCGGAGTGGCAGGGAGCGGCGGGGCTGGGCGCGGCGCGGTGGCTGGAGGGGAAATCTTGGGGAGAGGAGGGGGAATTTGTTTTACCCTGGCGGCGGAAGGCGAAACAGAGGAGAAACCTAACCTGGTGAAATTTGTCCACCTCTTGCGCGCCCTTTCTCCCTTCCCTTTCCCACTGCCCAATGGGGCCCACCGTGTGGAACGAAATAAAAGGCGCGCTGCCGACAAAAATGGCGCGGGGAGACATCAGGTGGCAACAGTGGGGCACGGCTTCATGGCTTTAGGGGAAGTTTGTTTCCAACTTTGTTTTTTCACTGAAAATTCAACTTCCCCTAGGGTATATTGTTCATTGCTTTTCTTTCCTTAGTGCAAGC